CTGATAACAGAGAAAACCCACGGCCCTGCGCCCATCGCTCTACGTACAAGAAAAACAATGCAACGGGGCCAGATGGTTGACTTGCCAGCTGTTCGACGCCCGCGCTCTCGGTTGCTCTGCCTGGCCCTCAGTGCGCACCTCCACATGCGTCCGCCAAAGGGCGCATTGAGCCCATCTCACCTTCAATGCTTGGGGGCCGCGATATCTGCTGCGCACAAGACACTCATCGACATCCAAGAATCCTGCTGACACCCGGCGCGTGCCGGTCTTCGCCTGTGCGAATCGCGCAGTTCGTGACTCTTGGTGGGCCACCGCACTCGTATCTCATTTCGTAAAAAAAGAACGATGGGTTGAATCCCGCAGTCGCCCTCTCCCCAATAGCCTTCCAACCGGGAGCCAGCACCGCAGCATGAATGGGGATGGTGGAGGGCATTCATCGTGGCCCGGCGGCTAGAGAGAGACGCTGCTTGGTGGACGGTCACGTGGGGGATGCGCACCACGCGGTTGTCCATGATATCTGACTACGACGGCTGCATGTATTCACGACGGCCACTCGCTGAGGGCGAATGGGATCCTGCCCGGGGACTCGGGCTTTGGCTTTGCACTCGCCTTTCCCCTCTTCATCGCGGCATCGCATCGATCATTGCCAGAATGAATCACTGCTGTTCTTCGCGGTCCCTTTTGCTGGCATGATGCTCCTGGCGCTCAATGATGGGGCGAAAATAGTAAGTTAACTACTCTGCTTCCATCAAATCATATTGCCTCAGTTGCATCGCCCAATTCTCTCCCCACTCTGGCGGGATCGAAGATCTCGTGGAGACGACGGGCACAGCAGCCATTTACGATGAAGCTGGTTATTATTATGATGGCTAGTTATTATTGTTGTCGTTATCCACAACCGCCCGGTTCACTGTGCGCAAACCGTCGACCGCCGTGCAGCCTGGCGCATGTAACCAGGCAGTCTTTTTGCACTCGGTTAAGATCGTTTTGCGTAAGATTGAGCGCCGGCAAAACTCAAAAAAAAGCAGCTCCCATGTCCCGTCAGTAGCCTGCCCAGACTTTTAGGGAGTGACTTGGAATCTGCTCAACCATTCTATGCAGCTCATCTGTCAACCGGGGAAACCTTTTAACAAATACTTGTGCATGGATGGATCACAGAGCTGTCCCCTGCGTGCCAGAACCAGCACCAAGAGCGTTCTAGAAGGAATCGTGACCCGGGAATTCAATCCACCAACCGGGGGTCCTCGGGCTCTCATGCTCCCATAGCCTATAGGATGGTCAACAGGGCCGCACAGAGAGATTTCAGCGACTTGTGAACGACTCAGTAGCATAAAGAAAAGAAAAAGAGTCGTCCCCGCAAGGGATCCCTGCGCCGCAGGTGCAAGGACGGAACAAAAAGAAAAGAAAAAGAGCGAACAAATCAACGATGCAAGATATGAAGATCAGGTTCTGCACAAAGAGAAGAGAAGGAATTACCCGACCACCAGGTCAGCGATCAGAGTGACAGTCCATGCAGAGGAATCTTCTGATATCTCCGACAATCATTTTACACATACAGGATACAGGACATGTCGTGCTGGCCCCAGCGCCACGCTGGGAGCTGCACAATGCCAAACGGAAGAAAAAAAAAAAAAAAAAAGAGAGAGAGATGATTCCATCTCTAATTTCCATTTCCTCTTCCTGGCAAATGGGGATCCGATTTCCCTCGTTGGTATCTGCCAAACTAACTAACTAATTTAGCTCGAACGCTTGTCCAAGATCAATGGTGAAACAACCCATCAAAATAGAAACTTGACTCCGCCATGATTCGGGGTTTTTATCCTTGAACGCTCACATTATTATTATCGTCTCATTTACGATGTCATACCCATTGGACCTGAGCATGCCTCGATTAGAGTGCTTGTGCATGAGGATTCCAGTTGGAGCTTCCTCTCCCCAAACGGGACCGCGCTTCTTGACAGCTTTTCTATATTAAGCAGCGTTCGACAAAGCCCTTCCGTCCCGCATCATTGCTTGCTCATTAAGAGAATTTCTGCCTTGCACAGCCGGTGAATCCGGGGCTTTCGAAGATTGGTTTTCCGCCAAACTTTCTCGGGGTTGTTGTTTGGGTTGGCATCGGATATCCTCGAACCTTTCTAGGTTCTTCATCGATTGGCGATGAACCTAACGATTAGAGGAGTTTATCAAACACCCTCGAACTTTGGAAATAGCTGTTGAGGCTCAGCAAAAGTTGGATTATCACCCGCTACCTATTTTGGGATTTTGAAGGGATCATGGTGCAAGTGCTCTGTGCCCGACCGCTGAGTTCCTTTGCTGTCTCGAATGATTATCCCGGCGGTTCAACGCTCTTCAAGAAACCTCGTTGGAAGTGGCGAAGGACCTGTGAATTACCGCTAAGCCGGAAAGAAATTGTTGTGAAGACCCTCAAGACCGCACATGTGGGAAGAAGGGGGGAAAAACTTGCAGTACTCCCTGCAATCGGCCCAACACAAACTATGTGCCGTGGTAGTGGCGAGTCTAGTTTGGACACTTCCAGAAAGCCGGATTGATCAGCGATTAGCCAGTTGTATGCTCCCACAGATCCTCGCCTCTTCTTGGACCATGGCCCTGGGTAAATGCGCAGAGCGGCACTCTGTTCAGAGTTTTCCGCATTGAATGGAACCGCTGTGCTGTGGTCCACAGCGGGATCGGATGGTTTTTGAACAGGGGACATATCCCGGCGCCCCTTTCCCGCCCGTTTTCTCATGGACAGAGGATCTTCCATACCGCCATCAAATGGGCAAAAAGGGGGCAAATGCTGGATATAGCATTGGGATAACATCGTTGCTCCACCGCTACTGTGAGATATCGCACAGACAGGAGATGCCGCCTATGCGAGACCACAATACCATGGTTATTCCTTTAACTCTATAATATTCTCCCAAATATCCCTTATCCCCGTTTTGAGGCTAGTACGTCAGCGTTGTCACGTTGAAGGGGTTCAACCTCTCTCTTTATGCCAAACGGAGCAGAGAGAAGCCGCTCTTCTTTCAAAGACTCCGATCCTGGTTTGATTGCCGGCTGATCGCGTAACGACTTTTATGCGCACACAACGTTCCAAATCTTCCGGCATCAGATGTTTTGAGTGGCTTGGGGAGTTTCGAGAGAAGCCTGTGCAATATGCACGTTGTTCTTGACCGTCTCTCCGATTCGTGCGAGCAGGCATCGTCCAAATGTGGCTCACCTTCCTGAGACGCTGCCGGCGTTTGGTAAAGGGCAGTAATCGTTCGAGCTCTA